ACTTACTGATTTGAATACTTCTTTTGCTGCAGTAGGTTGGACATATTAATTCTCTGCCCATTGTTGCATCGGTAAGCCCGGATGGGCCGTTACCAAGAATAGTACCATTCTGTGGGGATCAGGTGAGGATCCCATGCAATTCTCTTTGTGGCTCCGCGCCTTGAGATGTCATTGCGGATGCGCTGCACTTCGTGGACGCCTCAGCAAAAGCGTACTTTCTTACAGGGTACCCTTGATGGAGTACACGAGAGAAGGTGGAGAGGAACTTTCGGACGAACGAACGCGAAGACTACGCGACGATCGTAGCCATCTGAAGAAGTCCTTCGAGGGACCGCACACCGGTACATTGGCTCGTCAGAGTTTGGCCGTTGCCAACAGCAAACGGTGAGTCGTCCAGCCACTTTTGCTAATCGGCTCCTTCTTTTAGTGAGAGCAGCTACCGCTGGACAGGACACGTCCAGCCAGCGAGAACGCGTGCTGGAGGAATTCGTCGCGAGACTTCGCCCCGATAATCAGGTAACTACGTGAAGCTCGATAAGCCAGCGACTTTCGAGCAAGCAGTGGCCAAAGCTCAGATGGTGGAGCAGTTACTCGCTGAAGCGACAGCGGATCGTCTGATCAGACCCTCCAGTGTGCAGCAGCCGATTGAGGTGAAGTGCTGTCGCTCCACCGCGCCCGAACGGCGCGGCACTTGTTTTGGTATGACTCACGTTAGATTTCACACAATAACTGATTATTTCAGGGTAGCGGCGCCAAGTGCGCTCACAAAGAATTTGGGTGATGTTTGAATAGCATTGCGATAGTCAGCTGCGGAACTCACAATTGGACGCGCTCATACTGAAAAAAACAAGCTCTCCGAAAACAGATCGGATCTTAATTTCAACTTCATTTTTCTACGAGCGGCAGATACAGCTGAAAGTTGGGTTTTAGCAAGTAGTTAGAACCTCCTGAACACGAGCCATCACATTCCACTCGGCCTGACCTAGGTTATTTTGCTGTTCGGCGGCAAAATACCCTAGGTTACTAAATCTGCCCCAGAAAACTTGTCGTTTAAGAATCTTGATTACAGAACTCACATTCATTTCTAGCTGCTGACGCTGATGGTAAAGACTCCGCGATATCTGCGCTGGTATGGCTGGCCTGCTAAAAGGAAATCACTCTTTGCCCCAGGCTCATGCCTTTAAAGAGCGCCTAAATGGCCGCTGGCGTCGCGAGAATAAATGTCATTATTCTCGTGGATCAGGGCACAAACAACCCCATTGATGCGCGTTTTTACAATGCTCAATCTGATGAAAAACGGGTTGCCGCGCGAGAAATCAGCCGCCTATGGCGACCGAGTGTTGTTCAGCGGCTGAGAACACATTTATTGACTGCATTGCTTCATCTTAATGCCAAATATTCGGGTATATTTTGATTTGGACATCAATAAAGCCTTACTATGCAAATTTTACGCCGAAATTGGTGGAAAATGGTGGCGGCGCCTAACTGGCGCCAATTCGCGCCAGCGCCCAAAACCTGTGCTATTATTCGTGATCAGGGACACGAACCTACCTGTGTGGGCGAGGTTCAAGAAAAATTTTTTTTTGACTGTTTGGGCAGTAATAGTGAGATAGTGCCATTTTATGATCTGTTAGCAGATGATTTTCGCAGTTTCCAGCTAAATATTTTGAGCTGATTTTTTTTTTTCAACTTCACGCATTTGGACCTCTGGTTACAGGACGATTGGTGCTCGAGGTTACCAGTGGATTATGATTTGATATAGCCATAGGAAAATAAACCATTCAAAACTTCAGTTTCTGGCAGAACGAACACTGCCCTCCTTCCTCTCAGTTGACGAGAATTTCAGTTTTGTTGACCGAAAAAGTTCGCTTTTTTCTCAATAATAATTTTAGTTCGACTTCCTACTGTTGCATTATCCCTGGAATAGTTCGCGCTCGTTACCAGCGGCAAGACACAGTCGACAAACTGCCTATGACCGCTTTATTTTAGTTGATCGCGTCCAATATGGATGTGAGTCCGCAAGTCGACTATCGCAATGCATTCCAACCCCCACGGCCTGATTTCTTTTGTGAGTTCACTTGCGTCCCTACTGATATCGCTTATTGTTTAGATTTCAGGGCGTGGCGCGAGACACAGCTGGACGAGGCGAGGAGTCGACCATCGCCAGGCGTCCGAGCCTGCAGCCGCTTCGCCAGCTCTCCTGGGGCGACGCCCCGTAACCAAGAAATACGGTCTCTATGGTGCCTCTGTTGCTTACTGTTTGTGCCTTGTATCGCTATCGTAGTTTCGTTATTGTATTCTTTGTTACTTGTAACTATTCTATCTTGATCTCCTATTATGTCTTTACGATATCTTATTAATCAAGCACCTAGAGATATCCACAGAAGTACAGTCTGCATTCCTTGCACTTGATAGGGATCGTGGTCGGCCGAGAAGGAGCGTGCACAACTGTTTGAAGGCCTTCTTCAGCCTTTTCGTTGAAACGCGTATGCGACAAAAAGTGATAGAAAACGAGTAACACGAGGATATAGTGTTACAGTAATGTCACTTCCTTCAACGATTGGTGCAGTACGGGTGCGGAGCGCCGCGCCGCACGCAGCGCCACTGACTTGACTAATCAAGTGCAAGGATGACGACTGTTGGTGGATTAGCACCTCCTGCGGGCCGGGCGCTAGCTGACTATTTATTAAACACGTATAATTGGGTTTCAACGGCACTCATCAAAAATGGTCCGCGTTTGTATCAGAATTCTTCATGACATTGCAGAGGAGTCTTTGCACATTACTGAAGTGAAGCATTTTCCAGATGAAAATGTCCCGAGACTTTCTCGAAAATTGATTAGATTAGTAGAACACATTTTTGCATGTGTCCTCGTTCACAGGTTCCGCATTCATTCCGTGATTGCCCTGTTTCTTTCCATCGTCACGATGTCATCGCCACGATGGCCGTGACCCTCTCCCCCTACTCCCCGCCTCCCACTCTTCGAGGTGTGGGCGTAGCCTCAAACACGATACTTGTGTCTATAACCAAGGTAAACGGTTGGACTATACGTCTCGTCTGCAATCTCCAAAACCGCTACTGAACCGGCACAACAAGCTCTATTCACAGATTCAAGCATAAGCTCGCAGTTGAAACCTGAACTACTCTAGGCATCCTAGGAGCGGTGCTGAAATGTGGAGAAAAAGTTCTGTATAGTGCAACAACATTCGTTCACTAAGGAAGGCGAAAACTTTTCCATTCCGATGCAGTCGTGTTGTTTTTAAAACCTAAACAGACAATATAATCGAGAATGAAGGCAAATACTCGAACTCGAACTGGGTTGCGCTGAGCTGCGTTCTATAATTTTCGTCTGTATTTGAGCGTTTCGAGCGTTTTGGGCGAAAGGAATGTTAGCTATCGACCTAGCGTTTTGAATCTTATCAGCGGAATGCTAGCGTTTTGAGCGAAAAGTATGGTGTAGGTGTATGCCAGATCGATATTTACACATTCTTCTCGCCCAAAACGTTCAAAAATGCTCGATGCGACAGCAACCACAACACCGTGCGTTTCCATGCATTTTCGACGCTGTTGTCGTGAGATACCGTGTTTCGTGTGCATCCAGATTTATTACGGCTCCTTTGGAGGTACGGTGTATGGTTGTTCGCCTACTGAAGTTACCGTACTGTGTTACAAATGAATTCCTGTCGTTTGTATCAGAGTGCCAGCTACAGTAAGGACTACTTGCGCTACGACAACTTCGAGTTATACGACACAATGAGATTCATGCTGGGTTGTTCGGAAGCGTTCGAGAAACGAAATCGGAAACGCTAGAGCGGGGAAGGCCTGGTCGGGTAGGTAACAAATTAGAAGTTTCGAGCCATTTCCGCGAGCCATCTGAAGAAGACGAGAAGATCGAAACGTTGGGCCAATGTTTCATCTACAACCTCGTCAGAAGTAACATAATAATAACAGTCCTGTAACCGTCCTCCACTGGTACTGAAAAGGGCAAGAAACAGCAACGGGCGAAAAGTACTGATACGAACAATATGTTAGTCTTGTCGCCTGCTGGAAGAAGAAAAATGCATTGGCGCCGTCGCAAATCGCAATTCAGCTGCGCTGACACGAGCCATTATCCCAGCGAACGAGACTACACTTATCATAAAAATCAAGAATTACCAGTAAAAACATTTACTACGAAGTGTATTCAGACCAACACATCACAGTTTCATCAGGAGGACATATGGCAACAAGCGAATTTCTTCTAACCTCACTTCTAAACAGTAAAAGACCGCAACTCCGCGATTGACGGTTTCCATGAGGAACAATGTCATTGAAGATTCAATGTAAAAGTATATAATCGCACCCCAAGTGCACATTGGGGGAGTACCAAATTAAAATTATCAATATTACATGTTTCTAAACGGACGAACGCGGGCGTTGGCTGAGTAAGTACGGAGCCTTCTCAGTGTACTGGCAAGAGCAAGTTCTCAACAATCAAAAAATCTAAATGTCCACAAACAATCCAAACACCTCGTTCAGACTTCGCGATGTCATTGCATCGCTGCAGCGGTGCCACCGCCAAACGGTGGCACCGCTGCAGCGACACAATTCGATTTGGCACTGTGTGAACGCTGACAGTTTGAAATTTGCCGTTGCGGCGGCACATCGGCTGGCGGTGGAGATTTCTCGGTGGTGGTCGCACGATCGCGAAGTATGAACACGATTAAAGACAGTCCACACAACAATCCACGAACAGTACAAAAGAATGTCTACAAACCTAGCGCTCCTAGACGAGTTTTACGAGTTTTAAGAACAACAAAACCTCATATTAAACTCTCTTGGACAACAACACAACAGCAGCAACAACGCAGATGTACGAGATTCGAACACAACAGAGTTCACGTCAGGCAAACATGTCGCAGTGCCTAGCATCATTCTAACTAGTTCGACATATCTGCCCCAGCATACTCTGTCGTTTACCGTAACTTCTCAAAAACTAAGGGAAATAATGCTTTTCCATATTAGAGCTCTTTCTTCGGAGACTTCCTTTTCAATGAGTATATTTTGTCGAACGCATAAATGGGTAACGTTACTAGCAGAAGCCAATAGTACAACGAGCTCCAGAACCTGAAACATATAGCAAAGTACGGTGACATTACGGACGAAAGGAAACGTAGAAAGGAATCGTACCTATGCGTGTCTCTAAAGTTTTTAAGAAGAAAGCCAGTAGCGAGCATATCGAAGCCACGGAAACGAAGTGTGAAAAGATAGCTAAATAAGAAAGTGGCATGCTACACATGTAAATAAGGAGTACATGTGTAGCATGCCACTACCAAGGCATCACCACAGAAAAACGTACAAATATCGGAACCAAGCCGGTCGTCGGTTCGTTACAGGATCAACCGGAATACGGCTGAAGATAATGTCTTCAACACTTGCGCACATGGGAACGATCAGGAAGGACCTGAAAGAGGACTACATTGAAAAATCGTTAGAAATATATCAAAAGCATATTTAGCGTTACATAATGGCATCAATCTGAATAACGACCAGATAGCTCCTTACCCGCTTTTCTTATTCTATCAGGGTCAGTTCTCCCTCCACTACTTGACTCGCAAGAGTGACAGTGAATTATCCAAACAATCCACTACAACAGGGACAAATCTGTGAGATTCTGAGACCGATAGCATGGCCTCAGTCCTAACAGTTATGATTTCCAGTGTTACCGGAGGTGAGGATCTGGAGCTCCCTCTCACTTGGGTATGTTGGGAATCTCCAATGTGTAAACTCCCGGCACACCAGGAGAGAGGGGGAGGGGGTACAACAACGGCACTTTCATTCTGCTGTGTACCATCGGATGGGCTTAGATTTGAAGAAGCGCACTCAAAAGGAAATGAGCAGAGTAACAAGAAGCTAATCCATTATTTCTCCTTGGTAACTTCGTTAAGGCCTTCGCTTAGTAAGCAGCTCAGTTCTGCCATTTTCCAGCATTTGGACTGAATTCAATGTGATAATGATGATGTGCACTAGTGGTTGTGCTTGAATAGCATAGCAAGTTTAGTCTCAATACAGGAAGAGAAGGGGAGGTGGCGTAGTGGCAAGTGGCACACTGGCCACGTATGGGGCTCAATCCCGAATTGGCTTCTACCTGGAAACCAAGTCTTCTACCCTCTCTAAACTAATATCAGATGGATCATGTGAGTGAATAAATAGCTGACCTCATAAGTCAGTAGCACATGCCTTATTGCACTGAATAAGCCACTACGCTTTTAATAGAAGTAGAATGCGTGGCGCTCCCCAAAAGTGATTGTTCGGTGAACAGTTCACCCTTTATCCTCTTGGAGTACAACAGAAGCTACATTAGAGAACTAAGAAAGCGAGGAGAGCTAAACTATTCACGGAACAAAATCTGAACTCACATAAAATAACCAGCATATGTGCCATGCCATAGAGCTGACACGAACATGGTTAATTCCACTCTAGAAATAGTTCGAGAATCAAGATACTCTGAAGTTATTCCAAAGATACGAAAAGAAAAGACCGATGAAATATCAACCTGTACATGCGATTCACTCTCGAATGTACATAAAGAGCCAACCAGCTTTGCACGGACTTGTTCCATGATCGGATGCCTCCACGGAAGCTGTCACCCAGCTCGATCTCAAAACGATTTAACATGGTTTTTGGGAAAATTCGAAAAAAAAGGATTACCAATGCGTACAACAATTCGGACGTTTTCAATTAGGGCATATGTATACCCGCTAAAGATATCTTGTACTGGTTTCAGACATTATGGTATTGCATACAAGTAGCCTCTACTAAGCAAAAGTGTCCGAGTGGAAATCCATTCTACTGAGATATCCATAAACTGCTGTGGTTGCATGTTGGAATCGCTGAGGAAAACCAAGCATGGGAAGAGAAGAAAAGGATTTATAGGACTTGGCCGGACAGGATTCCTCAGCTTAGGTAAACATTGCCTTAAATGTTCATGCCCCCGGAAGGAGGGTCTTATGCGCTCAAGTTTTCGGTAGACGACAATTTTTAGTAACGATCATTGAAATAATACCTCCGGTATGTCTAAATTGACAATAGCTTCCGAATCGTAAGCGACGTCAAAGCGGCCTTTAAGCTCTCTGGAAAATAATGTATTAATCAGTTCTCCTACTAATGTATTCAGTACACCAACCTGTACTTTTCCAAATCCGTTGGTCCGACCACTGTACGCGGTTTAGTGTCTGAGGGATATATGCCAATGCCCAACGTGACGCAGATGCTTTCTGCCACCGCCCATGCGCTAGAAAAACGTGCGCAGTCTGAGATATCGAAGTTGCTCTTCGGATGAAAATTCAAAGACACTTCGGGGCTGCTGGGTAGCCGGAATAGAAAACGAAGACGCTAGTTTGCACCTCCTACTTCTGCCTTCTACGGCTCACCCATGTTGCAGTCCCGAACGGCGTATCTAAGGCGCCAATGTGGGCGAAAATGCATAGGATTATTGAAATAACAATGAACTAACCTGTAAACCCTCATACGGAAAACAACGAAAACTGCTGCAGCGTATAACAGGCGCTGTAAGAAGCTCATTTCCCAAACGTTGTCCGAGCGGAGGCCCTGCAAGTGAGACATAAACCATGAGCCACAGAACCAGTGATTGAACTACAAAAGCACAACATTAAGACAAGCTCTTACATCGAGGGGATACAGTTTATTAAGGACGACGAAAAGTGGCACGCTCCAACACAATCGTAAAACTCTTTGGCGTATTTCCTCGACAGGTGACCACTTTTTCAATAAACCTGAGTCCTGAGAATCGAGCAACATCTGGTATGTATAATACGGACCTGAAAAATACTGAATAAAGCTGATTCTGCCACCAATTGCAGGTCACAGGATATCTGTCGACCGCGTCATCTCTGCCCCCTCCTTCCTTTTTCCTTACTCCTTCCTTCTTTTTCTTCCCTCCTTCTTCCATCCTTCTCTCCATTTTCCTTCCTCAGACTGCTCGAACAGAAGATTCGATGAGAAGACTAATCTGGACCCTCACTGCGAGAGAGGATATGCCTTGTAACCCCCCAATTGCAGTAGAACTTATGTGCAGCGATCAAAACAGCATGTTTAGTGATGCTAAAGTGTGTCGCTTACCGGTGAATAATCCTGCGAAGTGGTAAAAATAATTGAATATTTCCCATAGACTTGGTTCTTTCTCGAGGAAACGCTTGGGTTTCTTTGCCGTTTCCGACGTGGTATGTGCAAAATGACGGTCGGAAATTTCAAATGTAAGCCCGATCACCTTAAATATTATTTATCACAATAGTTATCATTACCCTCAGTAATATAATCGCTATTATTGAGATACAACTTCGGAGGAATCAGGCGCACTCTTTCCGCACTGCAAATTTAATGCGCTGTTTGAACTAGTATTGATGATTTTAACAATAGTTACAGTCTCGCACGCTGCGGGTGATTGGAGGTGTTAGCGTGGCTGTGTTTGGCGCGATGCCAACTTGTTTTATTTCGGCAAACGACAAGACTATATCATACCGCTCCTATCAGTCGTTTTCCACCAAATGTTGTCGCTTAGCTGCTTTAAGAACAGTTGAAAGGCGGGCTGACGGCTTGCCAAATGTAGCCGCGCTGACACGCCCCTTCATCCGCAGCGGACGAGACTATAACTAATGGTGTGCCGCTAACTTATAGTACTTTCATAAATAACTTGAGGTCGTTGAATCATCAAAACTTCAATAAATATCTTCTTCGATGTCGGTTACTAATTTCGATGAAACCGCTCGGATGTGACATAGGCAAGAAATGTTGTTCAGGATAGTATTGGTAGAGCAAAAAAAGGACAAAATTTACTACTCGTATTCCAGAACATTAAACCGTGATAATCGCATCATTAGCACTCACCCTGAGAGTCATTATTAGTTGAACAACGTTAGCTTGAGAGGCGAGTTCATCAATGTCAAAAAAGTAGTGTAAGTACCGGATGATCATAAGGTATGCGAAGGAAGCAAAGAAAACTACAGCCGTTAGGGATCTGAAAAAAGCAAGACGATCACATCAAAAAAAAGAAGCAGCTCTTCACTACAATTAGTGGGAGTTGGTGGCGTACTAGCAAGTGGTGCCACTTAGAGTGCGTTCATACTTTGCGCCAGCGACGTTTTGAGCGACTAAGAAAGTATAGATATCGACCTAGCATACGCCAGCGTACGGAAATGTTTTGAGCGACGAGGAAAGCATAGATACTGATCTAGCTTTTTGAGCGTCGGCGTCTTGAGCGTTTCCACGGTAGTCGCTCAAAACGCTGCCGTAAGTTCGAGACCCAAACGCAAATGCGTGGTTTGGAAGTCGGATCCCAGAATGGCTTCCGTTTTGGCCGGCCAGTCTGCCATTTCTCTGAAGTATTCAAATCAGGAAGGCCGCGTTTTCTGCAACTGGGAAGAATACGAGATTAGGAGAACACGAAAACGCGCTTCAAAGGAAAGCATCACTATCGACCTGGTGAAATGGGGCGATAGGGGAATGAGAGTTGAAGAGAATAGGAGAATGGAGGAACGCATGCTGAGAGAAAAACAACTTAAAGCTGAGGAATTTTAGAACAGGAGAATAGCAGTAATCGAGTGGTTATCATTTCTTTAGCGCGCTTTCGCCTATTCTCCTAGTCCCCTACTTTACTAAGCGTAAACGCGACCTAACGGTGTTCTCTTGAAGGATAAAACACAGACACATAAATCGGCTGGCCCTGGCACAGACTGCAGAGGCCGTACAAAATCCACCGGTTTTCTCACAAAAGAGAAGTGCATGACGCATCCCATAAAACCTGATCAGCGGCAAATGCTTCATAGTTTATCAACTACTGCCACGTTGGGAAAAATACATTAAAAATAACGTCGAAATCAATTCACTAACTTTCTTGGGGCGTACTTTATGCAAGCGGCAACGAACAATGCCATCGGTAACGAGTAGAGGATCTTCTTTCCTGAAATGCTCATGGTTACTACCAAGTCCAAAACTGAATCGAACTAGAAGTCTAATCGTGTTTTTTTTTCTTCAATGAATACTGTGCACAAAAGGCTGATGGCTGTATGACTCGTTTATTCTGCTGTGCCTCTCGAGGAATATTTATTTAACGGCTTAACGTATCGACGTGGTCGTCTTCTTCAGAGGCCACAATTCCACAGCAATTCCTCCGTAACATGCGGATATTAGTGAGTAGCGAATCTCCACCTAAAAACCTCGAGAGGCACAGCAGAATAAACGAATCATACAACGATGCCGAGGTTACAGCAAGAGAGAAGCTGGAGATTAATAGCTGATGGCTGTATTATTTAATCAGGAACTTAGAAGTGATCTACGAGTTCGAATGACTCACCCAGTACTACCAAGGCCATCGTGAATCCTATAGGACCGCCAGCCTGGACAAGCAGAGATGCATTTCGTTGCATTCGCAGAATCCATGCGATAACGAAAGAGCTCACCAGAATGCCTAAAAATATTTGCAACCTTTATTTACTTCTAGCAAAGAAGATTGTGAAAACAAATTCTGTTACCTGTATAAATCCAATCGTCATGGGATAGTAACCCGAGTAGAGACAACTCCATTGAGATCCCTGCCAAACTACGTTGTGGCACTTGAAGAGCACTTCTCAGTAGTGATATCCCTCCACATTTCTTAGAAATAGTTTATGGCGCTCGGATTCGGAATGCGACTTGGCACTGGAGCGCACAAACTAAGGTCTATATACAGCAAAGAGTTACCGCAAACATCGTCAACCCGGGACGAAGTTTTGCGCTCGAACTATGCTTCTATTCTTCAAAAAACATGCTTCCAAAATCTCCAAGACGTGTGGGCGTGGCCGCGTACTTCAGCCAGAGGTGGCTGTGGCTGTGCTTTTGCTGAGATATTTTCATTTGAGACAATTGTGTTCATGTCTTTATAACAGAGAACAGAATGACAGTTGTCTCAAATAGAAATATCCCGCTAGTAATCCACCCTATGCCATGTTCAAATGCCACTCTCACTCCGTATCAGGGATAAAGAGTGTAGCTACTGCATCGCATTCTAGATCAATGAGAGAAGGAGACTTTCTTGGTTCTTACTAGGTAGCCGGCTAGACCATTAAAATGTAGCAGTTTTACATCCAAGCTTTTTCCACAATACAAATGGTCGTCATCGGGAGCTACTGCAGTTGAGCGCAAGCACTCTTGTCGGCTCGAAAGGCTCTGATGTAGAGCGTTATTTCTAGTAGCAATGAGTGCGGCAAAATAGGCGTTGTAAGAAAGCTGACGTTTGGTGCATTCGCAATAGGACCCAGTCCACTAAACGCAGCATTTATGCTGCGCGTCAACTCTCGACTCTCTCCCTCTGCGTCTCGAATAATTGCTTTCTCCGTATTTGTTTCTGTTCAGTCAACCAGCTAGGAAACGCTGCGCTACTGCGCGTGATGCCATTGACATGAAGTTCCACACCCGAAAGGTTCGCTCCAAGGCTGCATTTATATTTGCGGATGTGGAGAATCCACGAATCGAGACAATGCGGAGCCAGAGACTAGATGAACGTTCCACTCAGCACTCTACCACTGAGCAAAGAATGCACGAAACGGGAGAACGGGCTTCCTTTCCATTGACTTCAGGTCAGGTCCTTAGGCGGGCATTCTTTTGGGCAGCAAGGGGCCTGCACACCCTGTGTAGGGGAGGAATCCACTGCTCAGGAAATCTTTTGAGATGTGCTCCGAAGGTCCCATGAGGCATTTAGAGGTATTTGTTTCGCACGGTCACCTATTGCACCCAGCGATGTTCAGTTTAGTGTTCACGCTGAATCCGTCTTTTTTCACTAGACTGCGTTCGTGGTTGGCGTTCTTTTGAGCGTTTCAAGCGACTAGGAAAGTGCGGGATCGATCTAGCGTTTTGAGCGTGCGCCGGCCCTCTCAGCGACTGTTCGTGTAAAGTTCAAAACCAGGGCACGTCGTTGTTGGGGAATCCCTGATAGGGGAGGGGGGGGGTCGTTTGGCCGCCAGGAGAGGGGGAGGGCCGCAGGGTTGGGAAAAATTTATTTTGATAGTTGATTTTTCTCGCTTCACGGACCTTGTAAAAGGGGGGGGGTCGTACTTGGTCATTGTTGGGAGGGGTGTCGCATTTATGTTTTGGCTTTGCAGGAATAGTGGTTGACTTTTGTCGGATTTCCCTGATTCATGCGTGCTATATACTCCACCCCCCGCCCGACGACTCGATTCTATGAAGAGAAACGAGGGCCGGAAGGTGGAGGGGGAGGTGGTCGTACCAACCCCTCAAAAAAGGGGGTAGGTCGTACAGACTCGACAAAAGTCCCGAATCAATGACGTGCCTTGGTTCAAACGCGGCGTACGCCTAGAACGCCAGAACGGTACATACGCCTCCCTAGCCGCTCGAAACGCTCAGGTTTTGACGCAAAGTATGAACGCAGCTTTACACGACTCAGAAAAAGGTCGAAGACTCAGGCTTTCGTAATAGCCGGTACCCACCTATGCCAATAGTACAGAGGGTCTGTGACAGCTGCCCCGCGTCCGCTCAGGCTCCGTAGGCAGTATGTTACCGAGGAAAATTCTACTCTCTAGCAAAATACTAGGCACAAATGCTGAAACTCTGACCAGGAAAAAAAAAGAGTATGGTCCGCATCTCGGCGTTGAATGGGAGTGTCGGTTGTAACTGGGCGGCTATAGAGCAGCTTGTGGGTACGCAGAGACTGGGAAGGAAAAACGGTTATCCTCTCAGAAAGGGAAAGATTAACCCAGTGGCACTGTGCAGCTCTCAAAGTGCCTATATAACACAACTGTAGAACTTAAGACTTCTGAAAAGTCGATTGTTTTCAGAAAACATTGCAGGGAAATGTATTTACTTACTTTATTAGAGATGAATGGGAGCACTGCCCAAATGTACAAAGTTTCAAGTCGAATAACGAATCTCAGTCGGATTTCCCAATAAGGTCGAATTTTACAAGTGGCAAGGTATGAACTGAAGCTTTGCCTGCAGCGCAAGCCGAGCTTAAACTGACATAATATCTATTGGAGGATACTAGCCGTACAACAGTCATGAACACGTCAATGTCATATACATATGAAAGTTAATCATAAATGAGATGCGATTAGAACACTTGGTGTTCCATTATGTAAGTATTATGGGCCATGGCCATCAAATGACCAATATCACAAGCATAACGGAGTGCTCGAAAAACACACTCTACAAAGATGCAAAATACTGAAAGTTGATTAAAATATGGACACAAGGTGATATCAAATCATTAGGACTGCGTTCAGACTTCGTGATCACTCTATGCAATCGCGCGATCCAGTCCCGCGATGGCGAAGTCTGAACGCGGTCTAGCTGTTGACGTTACTGCGTAAGAAAATAAGGCTTTTTAAAGAAGTAAGCATAGAGTGTTGAAGCTCTCCTCACCCCCATTGTGTCTCTACATGAATAGAATGGGAGTGGTTTCCATCAGCAGAGTTCCTAGCAAAGAGGGGCTACATCTACCACTTGGGCTGATACTTCTCTAACGTCGAGTTAGGCTGAAAGCGACACCAGCTCAAATCCATGTTGTTCATGGCATAGCTCATTGGAGCGATCATAACAACCATTGCAATCTGAGTGAGAAGATATTCGATTCAAGCAATTCTTCAAAAAAGAGAATGAACGTACCGTCGACAAAATCGCCAACCACACCCAGAACCGTATGAACCCAAGACGGCAACACAAATGCCACTGAAGGCAGTACACCCACATGATATTCGCCCAGAACATGCTAACATCGAGAAACGTCGTTACTCTGAACAGCGGAAGTTTCGGCACGTTCATATTTTATTCTTTCACCCTCTATCTGGCCTACAGCCCATAATGCGTTCTTTGTTCGGACTTGAGCTAAAGTTTGTGCTTTCGGTGGAACATTTGGAGCTTGACTTCTAGTGGACACTTGGATTTTCGCTGGCTTACGACATCTGCTATTGTTTTTCTACGTGATATATGGTGGTTTTTTTCTTTGGTTATCAATTTTAGGGTATTTACATGAGATAACTAGCAATGTGTTTTCCCAGGCCCCCTACTTTATGTTTTGAGAGGTGCTCGTTGAACAGCGGCACTAGATGCTTTGCTTCCTGTGTCTTTTGTTAGTTAGGAGTTGCCTGTTCTCCAGACTAACCATCACTTTCGACGGACTGGTCCACCTTGGACAGAGCTGCCTTGGTTTTCTACATACACTCCAGCTTGCTGATTCCACGTGGGCAGCCGGTATACCCGTGTTTCGGAGTTTCAGCAAGTCCCTGTGACTCCCTTGTTGGAGAAGGGCATCTTAGCCGACTGATGCGGGTCCTTGTGGAAGCATGGCTCTAAGGTGGTATGTCCGGTGGGATATTCCTGTGTACTTTCTTGAGGGTGCTCCTGCTCAGCGTGCCATTCGTCCAACCGTTTTCCTCTCAGTTCCTTCCACTTGTTTGAATTCATTCGGTTTATTCCTTAGTTCTTATGCTTGCCTAGTGCTCTGGTGATATCATATTATAAGTGTTATGGCGTGTCCTATACGGATGCATTAAATAAATAAAATAAATATTATGCACAGGAACAGTGCGCAGTTAGAGAGGAATCACGTACGGCAACCCAAAAAGAAAGAGGTGTAGGAAAGTGTATCAAAATGTTTTGCAGCGTGGTTTAATTCAGGGATTCGTCTGAACTTACCATCCTTCTTCCTTTCGTCAGAATCTGGAAAGTAAGAAAAACATTGCCTCACGGAGGTGAGGTCGAGGTGAGCCACAGCTATAGCGATCGATGCCGCTGGGTGACTTACATTAGTAGCCTAATAAATTGCCTTGAGCGACTAATGAGCGGGTAATTCTCATCCGTTTTTTTAGCCGAGGTCGGGCACTGATGAAGGTCAATTTTGTGAAGGTTTGAGATATGCCATCTCGACATCCGCCATGTAAATGTTGCGATAAAGTTTCGACAAATTGGAACGTTGTTCGCCGATATGCATCCAAAATAAAATCATCCACCGCACGCTATGAACAACTTGCGTTTTTCGGTGTCGTTCCCCGGGACCTCCCTGTAACCATTCCCTCTCCTTTCGCTGTCACTACTTCGATAACCATGGAACTGTAAGTGAGACAAGACTGACGACTACACTCAATTAAAGACTATGGCACGACAATTCGATAACCGGCCAAAAATGCTAGGAACTGCTATAGTGGGGAAACGCGAAAAAGCGAAGTAAAATGGCCAAAAACCAGCGGAGACATGCCTTTGTCCTTAATGAGTCAAAAAGTAATTTCGGTCGAGTTTCCCGTAGGCATATTGCCAGTAATCGCTACGGTAGGTAGGGTTGCAAGTATTTACTCACATATCCATGTAACCGCGACCGCTTCATGTCAGTCCTCCTTTTCATATTTTACTTCGCAAATGAAGCGATACGAGCATCAGGTACAGTAGTCCATTTGTGGCAGGCGGGCGCGATGGGCGTCCGGGTCGGTATGTTGCACCTTGATAGGGCCTTATGAGGGTACCTTCCTTGGAAAAGGGCTACGCAGCGCCTGCTCAGGGGCGCGAAACTTCCTCCTGCCCGGCATATTAAAGACGGCCCCCACGCTCGAGTAGTACATGGTCGTCCTTCCTTGCGCAAGTAGTACAGCCCCCAAGCTACAGACTGTCCCACTCTATTCGTCTGCACAGCGAGCGAAAAGCGAGTTACAGCCGCGTAAGTTCTAGTTCTAACGCCTGCTCAGTTGGTCCGCCTTACTTGCTAGATGTCCTCCGACGGAGGCCACTCAGTTGTTCTTAGTCGGGGCGGCGGGCATTGCTAATGCCCATGGATAATTCTGCTGTCCTTTATTACAGCTTACTCACTGGAGGTATATACATTCAATTCAGCTCATTTCGCGAGGTGAAACGCTTAAAAAGCACGAGTGACGCAATTTTCGTGATGGGAAACCTCGACGCACAAAAGGTGCGCTACCGTAATCCCAAATTCAGACACCGCGTTGATAAAATTCCTTTTTCCTTCCAATAGTTTTTCCTCTGCGTTTTTGTTGTTTTCTTTATATATTTTTTTGCATTGGATGATATCAACTACTGCGAGATGTGATAGAGATATTTGAGCTAGGGGTTGCACAGAGACCGCAGGGAGGTGTGACTGTGAGGGACGATTTTGTTTATGTTGTTCTGGAGGACGCATCTTGCCTGTTTTCTTCTTTGGGAGATTGCTTATCAGCTACTGTTTCATAATTGGAAAGCAACTATCCAGGAGACTTTTATCGCGGGAGCTGTCTTTAATCCTACTCGTCTTAGGGACTTATCATACCAACTGCCTTCAAGAGAGTAAAGGAGATCGTCAAAAAATGAAGCAGACTAGAATTGAAATTAGATAACTACTACTTTGTGTTGAAAGGATGATAAGAGCGATCTCAAATATCCACCGAGTATTAGCTTCCATTACCGCTGAAGCTTATTTCACTGACGAAAGGTTGTGTCTAAGTCAATGGTTGAGTCCAGTATCTTCAGTGAGTCTAAGTTTACCAGTTCAATTCTGTGATCTAATACCGTAACACTTTCTAGAAGAACCTACTACTTCACAGTCCATGTATATATCAAACTGCGCACGTAAACACTACTGGACAAGAAGCCAAAAGCACCCATTAACACTTAGAAAGTGTCAAAGACTCGCCTGAAAAGTAAAAGGAGTTCATAGTGATCGTAGGCTTGCTGCCCCGGCCTGAGGTATTTGATCTGTGCCGGTATGAACGTTTTTCGTATGTTGCCCACTAAAACAGCGAATGAGGTCATCATCCTCAATAGTTGAAGCAACAGCTCGATAGCATCAGCGATTCTCTTCCGCCTTCAATGAAGCATATAGTAGCATCATTAACTGTTGCACATGTTCCAAAATTCTACGGCAATTCAGAAAAGTTCTTACCTCCTTTCTAGACGAGCTGCTTCCCTCAACTCTTCTCGAATACGCCGTCGTACTCGCTGAGTCAACGCCTTCCGATCCCTCCTCGCTCGTCTTGCCAACTTCTTTTCATCGTAAACATCATAGGTATTTGTGTAGTTAGGTGCCAGAATATCCAGCGCTGAAAGGTTATTAATATCTACTGCTTAAAAGATACGAAGAATGCATAGATTAATAAATGGAATTGAGACGCACCGTTCGTATTAGGGGCACCCTTAGCTCTCTTTTTGACTCTAAGGGGATTTGGAATCTTCTCAACGATCCGTCCCCAGACACTCGTCTAAAAATAAAGGGAAGTTGCTACAAACAATCAGCAGTCGATACTGACTATGATACCTTCGACTCCTCGCTATCGCTTCGAAGAGGGGATGGCCGAACAGGCACAGTATCTTTGAAACTAAAATCAACATCAGTGAAATTGCAAGCGGATTTCTGGGGAAACTTTTAATACTCAACCATAAGACAACCGAATTATAAAACAGACAGATCAACGTGAGATAAGAAACTAACCGAATCTGTGAATCGCTCACATCATTGCCAACAGAATTCACCATTTGAGAGTTTTCCACTGTGCCATTGGCTGCAACTAAAAGTAATCCCTGGTTCGTGCACCATTTGAGAAAACGGATTATTTTTGACAGTTTTTGGGTTCTGGTCCGAGAAAAGTAGTACAGGCCAAGAAAACTGTACAACGTACTGCCGTTGAACAAGTGCCGCGCTAACACTCGCAACAACTGAACACTATGTACGATAGACACTGAATTATAGTTCAGCTTATCACGAGAGTGCTGAGTTGTGGGCAAAAGTCGGGCCACGGGCGTGGTTTGAACCCGCATCTTACGCTTTCGCGGTTGCGTTTCCTATTACGCTACCGGTGCCCACTCTTGTCCTCTCACTAGGGAAGGTCGTCAGGTCGAAGTGGCCATTTGTAATGAGATGTAGCTCATTAGATGTGGCTTTGGACGCTGATCACGGACTTGCCTTCGAAATTTGCAAAGCGATTCTATGAAAGGAGTTATGGAGCTTTTTCCACCGCGCTCACCACGCAACTGGTCGTGGGATCGGATCCCTGCTGAGCTCAACTTTTTTGCTTCGTGCGTAAAAATGGCAAAGGTTGCGGCGTCACTACTACATTAGCGCTCTCCTTGATTAGCCTGAAAAACAGTCTGCGTTTGCTTACTGGCGCGCTTGGTGCCTTATGATCTAGGAGAATTTTTGGATGTACAGGTGCACTTGGCCCTTGCAGGCGTTTTCGCGCTAAGCGAGTGCCATATTCGTATTTATGGGGGCGAATTACGCCTACGTAGAGGTTTCTAGCCAAATGTGCCATTTTGACCTGACCTCGAAAAGTGAAGCATCCATGGGTTAGATCACTTGATGTTCACCCTATTCAGCTGCAGATACGTTCTCCTACACAAAGCCTCGTCTTGCCACTTCTTACGCATTCATTTCGTTACTGCTCCAGTTTTCCTGGTATCTGAAAGCAAATTCCGTCCAAAGACAAGCAACTGACAAGAGACTGGCCCTGGAACTAATGGTGACCATCATTCGATCAGCTGCTACCGCTTTTTTCAAAGTTAGGTTTAAACCTCACATCCGTCTAGAAACCTGTCCTCAAGGGTAGTTTTGCTCCCTGAACACCAATACGGCACCCATTTGGTGTTTGAATGCTTTCTAGACTCAAAAGAGACTTCTCCAAAAGATGCAACAGAAGTTCCCTTTCAGAAATTCGAACCTTCACGGCATACCCGCGAAGCAAGACCATTACCACTACACCATGCCGCTGTTGGACGTACGGCTGCTTCAAGGCTACTCATGTGAATTGGCTGGCAACCGCGCTCAACTTCGTTTTTCTTAATTTTAATTCTAACAAACCTTCATAATTCCTTTCAGAGAATCTCTCTGCAAATTTCGAAGGCAGATTCGAGATTAGCGTCTAAAATCACGTCTAGTGAGCTACATCTCATTACAAATGGCCACTCCCTGACGACCTTCCCTAGTCAGCTCGACGGCTATTTTTGCCATTGCCTTCGAGCACTCACACGTTCAATGTGATGATGTAATTCACCTGTTCATCTACTTACTCGTCATTGTTCAAAACGTAACACCACACCCTACTGGAGTTCGAGTTACTTTCACGGAGAAAAGACGTTTATGTTTGATTCATCTGAAGGGTCTACAGTTGCTGCTCCTCGGACATACAAGCCTAGTCAAACCTTTTTCCACAGGATAGCTGATACTAAACCCGTCCGGAGCATAAAACACCGAATGGCACATTACCAGCGTGCGAGAATTGCTATGAAGTCAAAGCACACTTGAAAGCTACTACAGTTCTAAAACAGAAGTAGAGCGCGTGGCGCTACACGGCAAAGAAGACTGTCCAACGCTCCATCGTTTAGGCTGCCTTCATACCTTGCGTCAACGTACGCCGACGTACTGCGGCCTTTCGAGAGTGTGCCAGCGCCAGCGACTAGGAAAGCATAGGTATTTATCTAACGAACGCTAGCGTGTGCCAGTGTACGGCAGCGTTAAGCGGGCAGTTTCGCTCAAGCCTTAATTACCCTCTGAAACGTGAAAATGCTGAACTGATATCTATACTTTCTTAAACGCTGGCGTTCGCTAGTTTGATATCTATGCGTTCCTAGCTGGCGTACGCTCGAAACGCAATATACGGCAAGGTGGAATGCGATCCAGTTTGCCTTCAATACCATAAGGCGTTGGAGGTAGTTTTCCTGTCGCCATTCACTTAGCGGCCGGCGAGAGGCCATCACACACATTGGTAATGCTGACCTAATTTACAGCTGGAACCCTGGAGGAAAATTTGGAAGCGTTGAAAGAGACTAAAAACTGCCCAGAACTCATCAATGTCAAAAAAAACAGTGGAGTTTATGCACACTGCAGCACTCCCATGACCCCTTGAATCAGAACCACTCATATGAATGCTGAAGAAAGATTAGAAGTTCCGTACCACTTTTAAATTCAACGATATCGGCGGAAATACCAAAAAATAGGCTTTTGTAGAGAATCATACCTAAATCATTTGCAGAAGTTTCCCTTCCAGGTCTAGGTGGCCGTACAGGCGCTACGCGATTATTTTCTATTGGCTCTGTTGGACGATGCTCTGACCTCACTGAAGAAAATAAGAACACTGCTCAGACTTAGAAATTCGAATTAGCTGTGGGAAACACAGGAAAACTCACTTGATTTAAGGTCCGCATGTGAATCAACCGCTTGTCCAATGTAGACGTACTTTCTGCATTCTGCTTCTTCTTCGGCAATCACGTCCGAAATAGCACAACGAGGGGCACTGCAAAAAAGTGGATAAAACAAAGGAAAAAAAGACTGCAGATAAAGTAAACAACCATGTTTTAGCGCCACGTCCATCGCTTTCATCATCATTCCCACCATCTTCCGATGAAGACGAGTCGATATCTGAATCCGATTCTCAACAAAAGTCACGGTTGTAAATGAAAGAGTGCTCACCCGGTCTTAGCCTACTCTGCTCTCTTTCTCTACTCTCAATAGTGTCCATGCGCTCCAAAGCGCGTTCCGCTTTCGTTCCCTTCCCTCCATACAATGCAAAGTAGACTTGCTGAAAAAACGATCTGACTATTCAGTAACCTGCCTATTGAATACAGGAAACGTCACAGAGCAGGTCGAAAGGGGAGTGGATTCATAGTATCTACAGCTCCAGCAAATAATGCTGTTGCTACTTTTGAGCGTGACATAGTTCCTGTGACTGTCTATGAATGCAAATCGCGACGACGTGAAACAATCTATGACAGGAAACTTACGAGCTACCGTGTAAGCCAAGTTGATAAGCTCAGAGTCACAGGGGAGAAGCTCGTCTAAGCCGAGCGAAGTGATACTTCGGCACTATTAAACTAATACTACCCCAGTCTCCCCAAATCAGCCAGTTTTTTTAAATGACATTTTTCTACGAGGCAGATTTGGCTGAAGATTTCCTTCCAGAGGTAGCTCGATCTCCTAAACACGAATACCGCCATAGGTGTTGGCGCTTAAATGCTCACTCAGATCGCCAAATTTTGCTAAAAAATTTGTCGACGTAGTTTGACCTTCTGAACATGAACGTCACATGGGCTTGGCCTGAGAACGCCTGACGCCCGCCCCCAGGCGCCATTGCCAAATACCATAGATCACTTAAATCGAAGGTCCGCTACGGGGGTTGTTAACATCCCTTACAAATATGACATTCATTCTGGGCTCCAGCGTCAATGGGCACTACGATCATCTGCCCTCTGTAAAGGCTGAGCCCGGCCTGAAGGGAATCATTCTCCCTAGACTGAGCCTAAGCAGAGGTGAATTGAGAAATGAATGTCATATACGTTATTGAGGCATCAAACAGGCTCATTATACAAGTTTTCATCGATTTTGGTGAAAAAGGGTGTGGCACCAAAATGACGCTCAATGGCGCAAAATAGCCCAGAGCTATAAAGGAATGTCAAGTTCGTGATCAGGGTACCGAATAAACCATATGAAATTCAACCGATTTTGGTGAGAATATGTTGGCGTAAAAGCGGTGCTAGTGGCGCCAAATGGCGCAAGCGTCATGCTCGTTCAGGGCATCGGGTAACATACAGACAAAATTTCAACAAACTTTTTTTTCAAGTTTTAGAGGTAATTTGTTGAATAGTACCGTATTTCATTGTAGAAAGTATGAAAGCAGGAAGGCGTGCTACAGAAAATGAGGAACAAAGTCTGACGAATGAAGAAATGACAGTTTTGCAATTATGATTGTACAGGAGATAAAAATTATTCGAAGCTTTGGTACCGCTTTCTTGGATAACCCTAGTCAACAAACCACTTTTACATTCACGATAACATGTCGTCCAACTCACTTGTTTGAGAAAGAACGAAAATTAATCTCCAAAAGAGCAGCACTCACCTTGTAAGTGAGGTCGGGATATTTGGTGCAGCGTTTATAGACCAAATTGCTCCACACAACCAAGTAATTTTCTCGGCGCAATGATTGGAAGCAGGAACACAGGGTCAGATGCATCCAAAACCAAAGCAAATCGTAGCTCTTCCATAATGTGAAGTAGATGCAGTTAGTGTAAAGTGCGACAAACCTTGAATAAAACGGCTGTTATTTCGTGATTTAACGAATCTGTACAAGCGATCTCATATGTGTCTTTTGTGGAATGCACTCAGACGAATCATTCGATTACTCCGCCCCGGGATTACCGCTGAAAATTTGTTCCCAGGGATAGTTTGACCTCCTGAACACGAATATCACATCCGCTTGGGCCGAAACCACCTGGCGCTCGCGCTACAGGCGCCGACGCCAAAATACCCCGAATTACCAAATTCGCTGACAACTTATATAGGGGAGGAGGGGGGGGGGGTATCTGACATCCTCATTACGAATATGGCATTCACTATTACGCCGGTGCTAATGGACACTACGATCATCTGCGTTCTGCTAAGGCTGAGCCTGGCTTAAAGGGAATCATTGCTTCACCCAGGTTCAGCCTTAGCAGAGCGCTAAATGGCGCTGGCGAAAAATGAATGTCCTTTTCGTGATCAGTACATCAAACAGCCATACTATGCAAGTCTACCCAGATTTTGGTGAGAAAAGTTGCGAGGATAAATAGGCGCTAAGTGGCGCCAAATGGCCCCAGCGTCAAAACGAATGTCGTATTCGCATCGAATAACCCCTGCAGTCAAAGTTTCATCAAAGAAATTTCTAGTCCTTGAGGTACTGATTTTTGAATACGGCGGAACTTGCAATGATAAAAATGCAACAATCACAGTGTATTGCCAGCGAAGCGATGAGTTACGAGTGCTCTATAGGAACTCTGAGTCATAAACATATTTGTGTGAACTGGACTGAAAAATGAATAAACTGACCAATTGAAATGAGCCAGACAAGCGAGAATAAACCGGTACACAAACCAGAACAGAAAGCAGCACCACTTCATATTTCAATGTGGAGAGCTTCTCAAACCATGCCAGCTAACAAACTTACTGAAGATAGTTGGATTGCACTAAAACAACATGGAGTTAGAAGCAGGATTATACTCATACGCATGTTTGTGCTTCTGATGAATGAATTTTAATGAAATGATGTTAGGAACACATTAAAACTAACGAAGAGGAGCGAATAAACAAGTTGCCAACAACTAAACCATTTCCTTTCAGTTATCTTGAATAATTCACCAAATAATGAAAAAGCTAAAGAAATAGAAATCAACAGTAATACCCACGTGATTTCCCTTCTATTGGTTGTGTGCTGTAGCCTGGAAACGTATGTACACAATGTGTTGTGGATCGTAAGTGGAATAACGCGCTCTGTTGAATGCGCGTGCCCCAGTGCTGATCCTGCAGCGTCTTGGGACAACTAGATACCACCGCTTCTTTTCTGAGGGTGAGTGTCGCTCTCGAGAGACACCACGCTGAAAAGCTGCATCGACAAACTTCCGGCGTTAACACAGACTTCATATACCGGAGATGAAGAAGGCATGGCTGCGTCTTCATTTAAGCATAGCAATGGCTGCGTTTCTAGAGAGATACTGCCGTTCTGGGACAATTGCAACCATATCTTTGTCTAGCCCAGGACAAGATGACAGTTGTCTCAAAAAAACCCACGGAACATCCTACGCCATACTCAGATGGAACACATAGCCACGCCCTCTCTATCCCGGGATACGGATTGTATGTAAACCATTTAAAGGCAGTTGGCACAATGATTTGGTGCTCGGCCTAATATGCTAGTAGGACGCTATATAGTGGAGAAATGACGATAGAACGGAATGAAATGGTCAAAATTCTAAGGAGCCTTCGTTCTCAATGTGTTCAAAATCAATTTTGGACGAGTTTCCCGTGGGCATCTTGCCAATAACCCCTACCAAAGGTACGGCTGCATATGTGTACTCATATACCATGCAGCATCACGGCCGCTTCATACCAATCCCTTTGCTTCATAATTTGCTTAGCACATAAATCGATTAGAGCGTTAGGATCGGTCGTCCATTTGAGGGCGAGCGGGCGTGGTAGGCGTATGGTCGGAATGTTGTGGCTTGATAGAGCCCTTGTAAGGGCACCTCCCTTGGAAAATACATTATGCAGCGCCTGCTCAGGGTCGCGGTATTGCGTCCTGCCAGCAGTATTAACCCTACTCGTCTTGGGGATTTATCGTGGCAACTGCCTTTAAGGGGCGCCGGGGCGCCTCTGCATCGCTTCCCTGACAATGTTTAGGCTTGAAGCGCAGACGAAGACTCTCTAAGAGATTCTCCGCACAGAAGACATAGGCATCTTCACACCGTGCTCTCCTGCTCTTCTCTGCATCGACAAAGTTTCGACGGTAACGCATGTAACTTAGAAAGGGGGTGGGGAGGGGGGGGGGAGGAGGGCACTTTTCCACATCTCTGTAACCATTCCTTATTAAGGTTCAAGCTTAGAGCTCAGACAACCAGAGTCGTCGAGAGTTCTCATTGCAGAGCAGGCACAGTCTTCTGGTAAATGGGATCTTCCCGTTCCAGGAGTACTTGTACCATCTCCTGGGCGAGTTTTTGTAAGGAGGGAGATAAGGAAGAGGGAAAACAGGAGGGAAGGAGGAAGAAAAAAGGGAGGAACACTGCCAGAATTCTGAACCGCTTCACCTGGTTTAAGCCATGATTAGATGAAGGGATGCAAAGGGGCTGGCAATCGTTGTCTCTCCATCCTCTGCAACTAAATGCGATACCCATCATGTGAATTAAATAAGGGTGATTTATACTGTCTAGGCGGCAAAGATTGTGGGTTTCATTGGAAAAGGGGATTTAGTGTGGGGTAGATGAACCACTTGGTCCATATATGTAAAATTAAAGTTTCAGATATATGCAAGTCTAACTTTGAGAAATGGGTGATGGAGGGGTGCGGGTAAATTCAGATTAATCCTGTGGCTAATCATATGATACTTATTCAATTGGGTGAGTCTCCATTCACATACCTGACTTGAGAGCTGGCCTGCTCTTCTCTCATTCCATTCTGTCCGCAAGCAAGGAGGATGCACAATTAATGTACGCAGCTCAAAGTACGTATGGAAAGGTGGCCCGCTCGCGACGAAAGCACTGCTCCGCCTACTGGGATGGTAACGCCCAACTTTCTTTTTGACCGCTAGTTAGTTGTGTGTGCGATTATTCCGCTACTAACTCTCTCCATTTTCAAATGTGAGAGTAATAACGGTGATAATGAGAAGGAGCTGACACCAACAACGGGGAACTCGTCCAACCACGCCCTCTCTTCGCCTTGTACACGTCCAGGCGCGGGGCTCCGCATGAAGTTCGACATGAGGCAATTTAGGCCGTTTTTCTTCACTTTTATGTTATGTACCTGGTTATTTATATTCGAGCAGCACAAATATCATTTTTCGAGCGTGGGGTGGCGGGCCTTCAAACATCGTAAAGTTTTTGCTCTCGTCTGCGCTTTTCCACGTATCGCCCAAGTAGTACGACTAGTGTGACCTCACATTACAGCTTCACACATAACTGTGACACTCTCGCAGCTGCTCCAGTCCTCTTGCTCACGAATTTTCTGTTAGGCAGCACTCGACTTTTGTTCCCTATACACGATCAGGGGGCACTGGGAGTCGGTCGTTTGGCGCGATCACATTGCTACTGACGTGTTCTGACAGGTAACGGTACGTGACTACCAAGTTGGATAACTTGTAAGGGAGACGGTAAAGGGGATCGTAATTCGCCGCACCGCCACGCGCGATGGGCGCACGCGCCCAGCAGCGCGGCAAATTACGATCCTTTTGTCACATACCCAACTTGTAAATCACTGAACTATAAGGTTTCCGTGAGTCATAGCCCACCAAAATCTGTCCCTTGACCTCTTCTCCTAATGATTAGTTAGGGAAATAGACTGGTTTGGAAACTTGGACGACTGCTTCACCTGGAAGTCGGTTTGCCTGACATGTTTTGATGCGTAAGCAACAAAAAAGTCGCGCCATATGACATACACCAAGGGGCATGCACTTTCGCTGCTTCAGGTCTTTAAGTCTCACTGTGACGAAACCTGTGAACCCTTGTGATTCTGTAGCAGGCTCGCCCAGGCACCGCGTTAGAACCTGTCAACTCTTGTGAGCTCATCAAATGGCTCTAGAGGGGTTGACTTGTCGATGGGAAGAAGCAAATCCGCAGAGTGCCTCCCCCCCCCTCGCCGAACTGCCCCCATAAGTAGTCCGCACACGCAGAACTTGAGATTATGCCAACAGGGTTTTATCACAAGGGAGGCAAGAGAGATTTTGCAGTTCGAGCGGATTTCGTGCAGCTCTGTTCTGTCACTCTGCGCTCTGGCGTTTCGCGCAGGGAACAAAGGGCAGCGTGCAGTAGTCCAGACAAAACTGTCAAGTTCCGTTGTACTTCAGTCGAATTTGACATTTCATGAACAACAAACTATTCTTTTTTCTACTAGCATAATTTTGATACATAGGAGTTGTGTCCAATTTTTCCCCTGTTGACTCCTATAAGCTTCCTGTACCTTTTTCACGTCCACTGTTGTCGCTGTTGTTGGATGTGCATCATCTTTTGTACTTACAGGAATTCGTCTTCCATTGTCTTCTGACGAGCGAAGAAATTCGTTTCAACATGGTTGGTTTTACTACAATTAAGTCTGTAGGAAAACTTCTGATAGAAGCAGTCCTTTTTATTTGTGAAAGGGAACTTCTTTCATTTCATTATGTTCTTGGCTGCTGAGGAAGGGGAGGTTTGCAAACTGCACCTGTGGGGTTCTTGATTTCCCGTTGGTGTAGCTACACTCGCGAAGACAAGAGGTTTATTGACAAAAGAAATATTAACGTCAAACACTTTGAACAGAGATCCAAGGACGGGAATGAGGTGGAGGATGGAAGGAACAGAGCGTGAAGAGGCGTCCGGCTCGCGGGCACACTCAACACAATCTGAAAATGAATTTTCTGCATGACCCTCCTAGTTAACTCTTCCATGTCCATTCATGTCAAGTCGCGACAAAGAGCTTTAACTCGTCTGACCGTGTTAACGTACAGTCAAGACCCCTACACTTTCCAGGGGTCTGGGACCGGATCTACCCAGCAACTGGTTGCACCAGGCAAATTTCTGAATTCCTGTAAAAGAAGAAAAAAAAAGATCCGATGGGGGTATAGCGCTTCCTAAAGATGCGAACACCCCTTTTCGCAAGAGAAAGATGGTTCACGCACTCTGGAACCCCTCTCTCTCTCCTCTTTGAGCAAAACTCCTCATGTCTCTAGTTCATGCTCGTTTTTCATACGGTTACGCTTCCCGCTATTCGAAAACAACCAGAGAAGTTGGCTACAATGGAGACTTATACCTTCCGTAGCTTTGTAGGAATTCATACGACTTTAAAAGCATACGCGGTTCTTCATAAGAGTTTACAAAGTGCCTCCCTCTGCTAGCGGATTAACGTATAACATGGTTTGTGCTAGGTGGAGTAACTTATGAAAAATAGGAAATCGATACAGGGCAAAAAGAAGGCGTTCCTGGATAAGAAAAATGCCATCCACTATCGGCTCGTCCCGAAGACTGCCACTGAGGGTGCTCCTGACGAGAACAAAAGGTATTTTATTTCACAATAGCAATAGCTTGTATTAGTTTCTCTGAAGTAATTTTCATCTTCTTAGGGTTGTCCTCACTGAAGAGGAGTTGGAAGAACGGCACAAATACGGGATCTTTTATGACGATGACTACGATTACATGCAACACTTGAGGGACATAAGAGAGGTGAATAGGGTTACATTCACCTTGTGAAGCCCTGAAAAAATCTTTTTTCAGACGGGAACTTTGCAAACACTACAAGAAGCTGCGGAACAAGAAGAAAGATTCGTTTTACGTGCGCCTAAGATGCCACCAGCTGCGCCATCAGCTCTCTTTAGCGAAACGCCGTCTACATTGAGAACCGCTGACGATGAGGTTTTCGATGAGGAATTGGAACAAGCACTAGAGGTACGTGACATTCGATGTGGAATCGTCATGATGTTTTGCTGCGATCTTAGCTTATCGGTATTACACTCTACACCACTTTGCTGCAAACACATACGGTAAAAGTGGGCCATAATTCGGGAAGTGCCTGTTCCCGAAATGCTTTAGGATCGCCATTTCTAAGAGATTGCTGTCCCATTGAGAGGAAAAAGTTTTTTACGCATTGCGCCCGACGCGTTCATACTTTGCGTCGGAGTTCCGAGTTAGCGGCAGCATTCTAAGCGACTAGGTGAGTGTACCCCTCGATAAAGCATTCTGAGGGTACGCCAGTGTTTTGAGCACTTTAGCTTGTAGGCTTTTCGCGGGCAGCCGCTGAAAACACAGGGTAGGCTCATAACGGCAGGTCGATATCCTGCTTCTATGTCACTCAAAACGCTGACGCAAAGTTGCACGCAGTCTTCTATCGTGGCGCGAAAAACTCATGTCACACGACCCAGTAGATCTCTCATTTGTACAACTCAAGCGGATCCCCCGGTGGAGTGTGCTCGTTATCACTTTTTTTCGCTCATCATCGTGGTCGCATACTACCTTTAACTATAAGAAACTACAATGTAGTTTAGTGTTTAGGCCTTTGGCGAGTTTACTATTATTACTTAATAGTTGCACGTGCGCATGATACCGCGTTCAGACTTCGCGATCGTGCGATCGTATCACTGGACCGGATCGCGCGACTACGCCGGGGAAGGGGGGGGGGGGCGCTCCACGTGCTCCGCCTCAACGGCTTAATTAAATATGGCATCGTGCACATGCACTTAGTCCAATCGAGCGATCCGATCGTGCGTTCCAGTCGCGCGGTCGCGAATTCTGAAAGCATGAATGTGCGCAAGATCTAGGGTGACCGTAACACTCACGAACCATCTTCACATAAACTATTCGAATTTATCTCTTTTCGCCTTTTTCGGTCGCGCTATCACTTTGTACCATTGTTTGTTAAAATTCACATTGCTTCAAGGGCAATTTCGAAAATGAAATTGGAGGAGGACTTGAAGATGACTTCGTAAAACTCGCTGGAGGAGTTGTGGAGCCTGCACATGAAGCTGCTCTGCGCCCAAGGCAGCCCGCTGTTCACTTTGATAGCGATGAAGAGGTTGTTCCTACCACAATTTCGTTTTTGAAAACATTGTTTTTACTCGGTTATCTTTTCATGCATGTTCAACAGTAATTCATGAAATTGGTTTTTCTTCATCCTCTGCTAATCCTTATTGATAACTGCACTTGGACGCTAAATGCACTGCTTCTAGGATGCCGAGGAGTCTGATAATGATGAGGATTACAACTATGGTGATGAAGAAGAGGAAAAGGAGGGAGAATCGAGATATGAAGTGGGTCCATTATATTTCCTATTTCGAAGTAACCGTACTTTTTATATCAATGTCACATAGGTACGTCGCGATGGTCCTCGACGAGAAATAGATGATCGTTTCGATCGTCTAGCTGGAAGCCGACTATCATGATGATCAAATGGGTGAATTGGATGGCGATGACTACCTCGTCAGTGGTGCACTTGAACCAACGGATGAACGTGTAAAACGGATGATCAAAGAGACTCATGTTGGACCCATTGACGATGAAGAGGCGAGTGAACTCATTTGGCCCTCTTCCTCTTGTAAACTTTAGCAAGTGTTCAATCCGATGGCGGTGCTCCTTGTTAGGTAGCATATTAGTTTTCGTAATAAGTGCAGGAGAAATGATTTGAGATTAGCTGAGCATCGCTCTTGACCAGAACGTAGGAGCCGTTTCTTTAGCATAGTGGTGTTTGCGCTAAGTGTGCTTCTTTAGGCTTCAAAAGAATGGACCAGGCAGCGGATGCGACTCATTGAAGCAAACGTTGTAAAGGATGACGAAGTCATGGAAAGTGTTGAGGTACTTCTATTATGTCCACATTTTGCCGAAATTGCGCTATCAAGGATTTTTGGGATCGCTTAGTCACGACGTGCTACTTCTTGGCGATCAGCGGGACTGGTACAGCTTTTCGTGGGGCTGCGTTCACTGCGTTCATACTTTGTGTCAGTGTCCACCAGTAACTAGGAAAGTATAGATATTAATCTAGCGTCCAGCAGCGTATGGCAGCAGTTTCGAGGGCACTTTAGAACTTGAGTAAAACTGCCCGCGAAAACGTGCTGTACGCTGGTGGACATCGGCGTTCGCTAGATCGATGCCTACACATCCCTAGTTCCTCGAGACGCTGGTAGACGTGGCGTTCGCTAGATCCCTATTTATACTGTCCTAGTTGCTGGTGTTCACTGGTGGACGCAGCGGCAAAGTATGAACGCAGCCTGAGCATCAGAGTCGGCGTTCCAGTCGATATCGTATAAAAGTGCAGTGATACAAGTCATAATGACACATCTGAAATGCGTAACCGGAAATGAGATATCAAAGATGGAATCTTTATGGGTAAACTGCCGTCACACGCATACACCGTTGAAAACCAGTCGCCGTTCCATTCAAACCTTTGTAAAGAAAATGAACAGAAACCACAAGTTTTTATCCAAACTTCTTTATATGGAACTCGTTGACTTCGCTCGAAAAATTTTCATTAGCTATCAAGCAGTATATGGCATGACTCTCTTTCTACATGTCTGTGAAATTGTTCATTCGCCAAGACATCTGATTTGTTCCCGCTCTTCTACGATGCTTTATTGTAAGAGTGTCATTGATTTGTCGGTCCTACTTTCAATGAATTTCCCTCTTCATCACCCCACGAATGAACGCAAGCGTTTCATGCCTGCCAATCTCTTTTTTAAATCTCCTATCCAGCAAAACTTGTTCGTGAATTTCTAGCTGGCATTTTATCCCAGGATTTGGAAACCGCAACCTAAACTTTACCTAATTCCATTATTTTCTTAGAGTGTTGTTTTCTTCATAATTGTTGCCTTTCAAAGTCCCTGATCTAGTGCAGGTTCGCATCTAAGTGGTGAAAAATATAGCATTAAGTCACGCTGCTGACCCTGACATTGGGTGAATTTTCAAGATTTGTGAGACTTGAGAAAAAACAAAGTTCTTGGAGCGTGAAAACGAAGAGGAAGAAAAGGAGAGGAACATCCAAGCAAACCTGATTCTTCCTTCGATAAGCCAAGTGAGACTAATGATGGTCAACGATCGCTGGCATGTCGCTGCAAAAACTCTTGTCTGCATCTTGTAGCGGCTTTGAAAACGATATAAAGGATAAAAAGGATAACCTTTTCGCCGTTAATCAATCCCTTTGTGGGATGCGGCACGCACTCTACGTCTATTCCGAATCCTAGTGGTTTATTGAATGCAATTTGGCCTACACAGTGACTTGCGGGGGCCAGCCGATGTACAAGGCAGTGTTCTTATCTTCCCAGGCGAATCTGGTACCAACGAATCTGGTACTTGTCACTATAGCAGCTCCGCTTCCCGCAAACGATATAGCATACGCAGTGACTTAGGGTGGAGGGGGGCAAACGATGTACAACTCAGTTTGATAAGTCTTCTGTGCACACGAGGTTGGTAAGTGGAACTTTTATTATGGCCTGACGTTTCGACTAGATCGTCTTCATCAGAGGCCTAAACGTGGCTCATGGGTTAAGATTGCTTTCTCTACACCGCCAGAGATCTCCTCCTTCCTAACGTTTCTGACAAACTACTGAGAAAACCACCCAAAAATCCCGAATGAGAGCAAAGGTACACCCAGTCCACCACAGCGAGAGCGGAAATGGCCACTCAGTTAGATGTTAGTACAATGAATGGGACTTACTGTGCCAATCTTGTATAATGATTATAGTCAGAAATGGCACGTTCAACCGCTCACATCAGCAGCTCGCAGTGCGAGACAAATGGCAAGAGGTCACTTGTTATGGATAAGCACTCATTGCGGTTGTTCATTCTAGGATTTCTTGCAGAAATCCAGAATGCCTCTAGCGCTTTTCTGGCAGAAATCTCAGTCTCGCATGCCAGAATCGTGCACTTCACATCAAAGTCGTTCAAGTCAGACTGGAAGACCATTAGCAATACGCGTCAAAGAACATCTTGCTGGCAAAAGGCGTGGTAATATAAGAACACCACTCAGCAAGCATTTGATCGAGGAGCACCGCGGAAACGACTTTGATGTGAAGTGCACGATTCTGGCATGCGAGACTGAGATTTCTGCCAGAAAAGCGCTAGAGGCATTCTGGATTTCTGCAAGAAATCCTAGAGTGAACAACCGCAATGAGTGCTTATCCATAACAAATGACCTCTTGCCATTTGTCTCGCACTGCGAGCTGCTGATGTGAGCGGTGGGACGTGCCATTTCTGACTATAATCATTATACAAGATTGCACAGTAAGTCCCATTCATTGTTCTAACATCTAACTGAGTGGCCATTTCCGCTCTCGCTGTGGTGGACTGGGTGTATCTTTGCTCTCATTCGGGATTTTTGGGTGGTTTTCTCAGTAGTTTGTCAGAAACGTTAGGGAGGAGGAGATCTCTGGCGGTGTAGAGAAAGCAATCTTAAACCATGAGCCACGTTTAGGCCTCTGATGAAGACGATCTAGTCGAAACGTCAGGCCATAATAAAAGTTCCACCTACCAACCTCGTGTGCACAGAAGACTTATCAAACGTAACAACAATGCCGAGGTTTTACGAAGAGAGAAGTTGGACAGTACAACTCAGTGTTTTTGTCCTCCCGCACGAATTTGATACAAGCTAACCAGATTGGAGAAACGGAAGGCTCGGCTGGTTTGAATGGCGGCCGAACCGGGATTCGCCGCTGCCCCTATCAAAAAAATATTATGTTGTTATTACATTGTATCGTTAGACGCTGTTCTTACAACTATTGAAGTCGAGGAGACAAAACAAGTCTGAACGGTTGAAAATACTACTTATTGGTGTAAGAAAATACTACTTCTAGTTGTGAGCGATTAATTCTTTTGCGCCTCACGAGGTTGTTAGGTGGAACATTTATTAATGAATAAGGCCTAATGTGTCGACTAATTCGTCGTCTTCAGAGGCCAACGTTTCCACGGTCAGCGCGCACAGAGCCGCTGCAAAAGAAGCGTTAGCCGGATATAAATAAAGGCTTATACTATACTTATAATAGAATTTCTTGACTTGTTCCAGGTTTTTTCTTTCACTGCTGTGCCCTGTTCCCATTACTCAAAAGGGTGGTTAGAAATATACAACTCGAAAATAGACCAAACGCATTCTTAAATTCTTTTTATCTGGTATCAGCTGATTGGGTCGTATGATTGATATTCTATGCCTACCCGTCCCATTTTCAGGTTGATGAATCGTCATCGAAGCGGCTCAAGTGGGACTGTGAATCATACGCTACTCAGTACACAAATATTTACAATCGTCCAAGGCTTATTGAGAGTTCGTTTAAAATTACCAATTCCGTTTTAAGAAGAGAGTTTTCAAAAACTGTCAAACTGATGTACGATTGCAACATTATGCACACAGAGTGCTATATCAATCCCATTTTGTAGATCCAAAAAGTGGGAAACTGTCTCGCCGCGCCTTGAAGCGGCTAGATAGAGAAGCGAAGAAAGCGGATGATATGGAAGTAGATGAGGAAGAGCTGCACAGTGATGACGAAGAGGCCATGAGCCAATGTACAGAAGCTTCCACTTACAGGTAAAACAGTACTGTTGCAAGTTTTTAATCTTCTTTCTGCCTCACGAGGTCGCTGGGTGGAGCACATTTAATCTCTCTAGGGGATCCCCCATACCACAAAAAAACAAACCCGTCGATGATCCCACCTTTCACGAGGAAATCTGCTGCCACACAAAAACGCTAGTTTTTCTGGTTCGCTGAGAACAAGCGGCGTATCGGTATCAGTGTGTCACGGCACCAAACCCGGACTCCGCCTGTTGTAAAAACGGGTATACGACAACAATGCTAGAAAACGAGTGATAAACGACATCATATCTTGCTGGCTTCAACAGCTGGTGGAGAAAGGATTTGGCACCGCGCCAAACTCATCTCGCCTGACACGCCCCTTCGTCTATGCTGAATTAGTAACAAATAAGGAACGCTACACTGCTTCCGATAACGAAGTACTGAGAGGCTCCCGTAATGATCTGATTCTACGCAGTGGGGTCTAAATGATAGTAGGTTCGTAATGGGAGAACTCTCAGCCAGATTTTTTATTCTGGATTTTCTAATACATATCGAGAATGCTGCTAAAGGTTTTCTATTAGGTTGTCCGGAAAGTTCTCAGCGTTTTGCGTCACTATCTTTTGTACATTCATTGCTGATTAAAAACTAACTCTCCCTTGCGTCTCAGTAGTATATCATTGAGAGAATTTTTTGCGCTTATCATTGAGAGAATTTTTTGCGCTATCTGATGGTATAATTGCCTTTTCAATTGCTTGATAAACCCCCTTTTCCCCAATACTTTTCCAAGCATGTCAAAAGAGCAACTTTGGACAATATTTTTCTTCAACTAAAAACTGGGTCAATCCGCAGTCGAGACAGCTCGACAAATTAACCAGATATGGGGGCCAAATA